TGGGTCTATCGCATTGAAACTGGCATCATCCATCCTGAGTTGCCATCAGGTACCATGTATTTTGTTTCTTGGGCAGACCTTTCACAGAAGTCTGGGGGAAGCACTGCTGCGCCACATCACGAAAGAACTCATGGTGTTTCTTGAGGGATTCCTGCAGGGCCTCACAGTCAAATGTTCAAGAATCAAAAAACCAATGTGCCCCTACCCATGCGAAGCTAAGGACGAGGCGTCCTGATGCGGAATGCCAAGCCTGTTCAATTCCATCGCGGTGGAACGAGCCTTTTCAGCTTTATCTTTCAGCCTTGGCCATCGATGTGGTTTTGGTATGTTGGGTGTACCTTCCAATGTTTGAGACAAAGGAACATTCTGATATCCTTTTGCAAATCCTTTTTTTCTTTTGCCTTTGCTTCTTCTTCTGCAGTTTTCTCTTTCTTCGGCCTAGGAGGATTCTTAGGGTCCTTTTCCTTCTCTGTGGCCGACTTAGCCACACCACCCTTCAGAAGTTTGGCAGAGCTGTCGATCATCTCAGAAATGGCTTTCTTCCCATTCTCTGATTTTACAACTCCGCTCGCTCGAGTTCGGGTCCCACCACGTGTGAGGTCAGTACCTGTCATGGTTGTAGCTAGCAAACGACTGCAGAGCACAGAGCCCTGCCTGTGGATCTGAAAGTCTTGAAGCACTTGTAGATTTTGAACTCCGGTGTGTCAGGGAACTGCTTGTCAGTCCTTCCCTTTTGGCCTCGGGTCATGCACAGCCAAGGATCATTGATGAAGATGCACTGCAACTTGGCACCGGGCTGGACGTGATGTGGGCAATGTACTGCCTCAACACTGGAAAACTGGAAGGAGTCATTTAAGGCTTCAACATTCACCAACCACATCCTTCCTATATAGTAAGCAGTATGTGATCTATGTATAGCCAAGGGGCTTCCCAGCTTCACTCCCCCCATACTTCTCCTGGATGCGAAAGAGTGGAAGTTCTTCGTAGATGTCTTCGGTTTTCTGCTCCGATTCCCTGAAGAGAGGAGGCAATGAGGCAAAGGATATTTTTGGAAGGCGCAGTGCAAAAAGATCGACTAAGCTCTGAGCTTAATGAAGTAAGCCTCCACTTCCAAGTCATTCCTCAGGTCTACTCTCACAAAAATACAACTGTTGAAGGAACATTGAAACAGTTTCATCCAAAGTTCATGTCCGGGTCCACCATGAAGGCCTTGACCATCTCCCACCTTGATGATCCTGAGGTGCCCTGATACTTTTCAAGAATTTCTGGCTTCAGACCACCCCGCTCGATTCTACGATTCAAAGCGTTGTACCATACCCTGCGTTCTTCAATAGGAACTGAAGAACAGTTGAGCTCACTGATCTTAGCCTTCTGTTCCTCAGTGAGGGCTCCAACCTCAGTGGAAACACTTTAGAATGAAACGAAGTGGATTGAAGCTCAGGACTCTACACGAACAAGGCGTCCGTCTGAAGTTCTGGTCAGAGCTGTCATGGGCATCGCCACCTCTGGAGATTTGCCTTCCTGATGCAGGCGTGGCGTCAGACTGCACAGGAAGCTAACCAGCGGTTACAGCGTGGCGTCAGACTGTAACGTCCTTCCGTTTCAAGGATCCCAGCGGAAGTAACCTGTTTGTTCCATGGATTCGAGCCTGGTGGTTCTCAGAACGCAGCTTCTTTGACAACCGTCTTGCAATTCGTCCTGCAAATTGTTGGCGAACCTCTGCTTGTATCCGCGAGCGTTTTCCCATGGCACCAAACAGGGTAGTGGATTGATTATGTCAGATCACCAGTTTCCACCTGTGCATGTTACATTGCCTATTGTTCAATTCAATTTTGGTTCATTGTTACGCAACCCTGGTCTGCTTGAGCTAAAAGGGTTTTGTGGCAGAGTTGAACTCAAGTGCCCACTCACACATTCCCAGAGTTGCGCCTCCTCAACCCAGGAAGCTGCAGCTCCCACTCGTCACACTTGGTGCATGGACGGTGCTGGTCTTTCTCTGGGGTGAGAAAGTTTTTTCTTTGGCCAACCCTGGTACGTATATCTATATACATACATATATATGTGAAGTATAGATGCGTATGTTTGTCGCAAACATGCTTCGCGAAAAATGTTAGGCTTGACCCTGCAAACCCTTCTGAACAAACACCATTGAGCCTGCACCTCACAGATGCACGCTGCAAGTTGTTTTGCATACTGTGTGTGAAATTGACTGCAAGACTCTTGCAAGACATGAAAACAGCCACCGGGCATGTCCAAAAAATGACTTGCACAGCGCCAGAGATGTTGTAGCATTAAGCTATTTTGAGGTACTGTTTTGAGCCCAGTGTTCATACAAGCACAGGGGTTCTATATGACACTTGGCCAAAGTGAGCTATACAGCCGGTCAACCTCTGGTGGAAGATGGAAGCCGCCAGCCTAAAATTGAAGGAGCTAATGAGCAAAAACAAATCGACCAAGTAGGGAGCAGGCGGCGGGAGGCCCGAGAAGGGGAATCCCGTGTTCCGGAATAGAGAATGAGGAGTCCATAAAAGGCCTGCCAGGTGAAGTTCGAAGAGTCGCCAAGAGAGTTAGGTCGCCAGGAGATGGAGGAGAACAACGAAGAGTGCTCCTACGAGAAAGGGCCGAAGCGAGCATGGAACGAAAAAGGGAAGCAGAACAACAGATGTGGTTGGAAGATGTGAGAAACTCGGAAAGCGAAAGCGAATCCAGTGAAGAAAAAGAACAGGCCGTGCCAGCGAAGCCCGACACCGATAAGAGGCAAGGGGAGCAAGTGAGCCTGATGATCTTGAAGGTATTGTTGAGAGAGAATCTGGATCTGTTGTATCGCGTGTTGAAGGCTGAGGAGTGTGGATTGTTGAGTATAGCACAGTCGGGCGGCCTTCTTCCTTTAGTTTGTATGAGAAGTGGAGCAAATTTGGGTGAGCCGGGGTCTGACGACGGCAAATTGGAAGACAGCGCGATGTTTTGCGTACTGCTGCTATGGACGGACAGCAAGAAGGAGATGAAGAGATTGTTTGAGAAAGGAGACTATATCGAAAGATTGGAGACGCAGACAAGAAGGCTTTCCGTCACGCGATGTTAAGTTTCCTGTGGATAGGAGGAGGCGGCAAGCAAGCGAAGGTTCATCGCGGGAGCATTCGTGTGAGCCAGGGGCGTGCGCTTAGTCAAATCTTTTGTGGACGACAACTCAGAATCAAAGGCAAAGGTCCCTAGGTCTCCTGAAATGGGAGAGTTTCATACGAGGGAGAGGTCGTCGAAAAGGGGCAGAAACTGACCTTGGATCAAATCCCCGCTGGTCTACCACCTGAGGGCTCTGGAGCGTCGGTGCTCTTGATTGAGCAGGGAGAACTCGGGAAAAATCAACCTATTGCCTGAAGACGAGATGTCAAACGACGAGATGTCAGACGATCTCCTGGCGCCCCGCATTCATGCCTCGAGAAGAATGGGAGAAGATATATGGCCGGAGAGTTGCGCAAGCGAGGGCTGGTCAAGGCAGTTCCGGAGCCAGTGAAGGTATGAGGAAGACCGCTGGTCAATGGAAGTTTTGGTGTGGTGAAGCCTGGCAAGTTTCTGGATGATGAGCGGCTCGTTCTCAGGTTGATCATGGATTTCCATGGTACAAATGCTGCAACGAAAGTATTGGAAGGGTATTTAAGCACGCTGACACGGGCCCACCTAGTGGTGCAAATGAGCGCTGCTGATTTAGTCTCAGGATTCTACCTCTTTGCCCTCCCTCCGTCGAGGATGGGCAGAGATGATGACATTTGCTGAGCAGGTGTCGTGGATGAGCTTGGGGCGCGAGAGAGAGGGCCTTACCTACATTGGGGCAACTGTATTGCCCGTGGGGTGGGCCTCAGCACTTGGATTCCTCCAGCATCACCGCCGACTAGCTGCGCGCTCTCCACTGAGTGGGGGCGATGGGTTGCTAGGGGCGTGTGAGATACGTCGTGATAGTGTTCCGGATTTGTGGTCGTTGCATGGAAGGAAAGAGTTCCTGAAGGGTTCTACGATGCGAGTCCTGGATACTTTGTCTCTAGGCTTTTGGCTTCTTAGGCAAGAGAAAGCTCCACATCTTTGTGGGGCGTGAGGTGCAGTTCAGGAGGCCACTGTTCGGAATGTTTGATTACCTCTGGAAAGACATCTCAGATGGGGAAGTCCCCACCCAACTGGGACCGAAGTCAGTGGGGGGAGATCCGGGTTGCAGCCAGCCGCTGAGAGTCACAGTTATCTGGGATGCCAGTGAGAGTGGCGGAGGATCGGTATATGGTTCGAAGCGCTGACGAGCAAGGGGGTGCGTGAGATGTTTGCGCAAGAGAAGCAAGATGAGGTATGCGGTGAAAAGGCATCAACCTCGATGACCCGCAGAGTGTCCTAGTGATCGACTTCTTCGGAGGAATAGGAGGCCTGGTGATGATTGAGAAGGATCCCGAGCGCCGGCACTTGAAGAAGACCCGATGGCCGGGACGCCTTCAGGGTTTAGCCAACTTTGTGGGAGTTGCGGTTGATGTGGTGCTGAGTCAATCAGGGCTTGAAGCAGTCCGGAACCCATAGAGTTTTTATGGAGAGAAGGTGACCCAAAGACGATGGCTCACTATGCGCTGGCCACTGTACAGCGCCAGAACCCACAATTAAAGGGTCAGCAAAGGTCCGTGGCACTTGTTGCCTTGTGGAACAAGCTGGAACAGCCCACAATCTCATCTCATCTCACTCACCACCACCGCCACCGTCGCCACGCTCCCCAACTTGATCGCCACCATCACCTCTCTGGACCCCAACGCGTCTAGATCTCTAGACTTTCTGCTTTATGACTTCACACACACTGTTTGGGGTCTTTAGCCGGAATATATTTGTTTGGCTGGAGGCCATTGCTCTTAGGTCGGAGGCCATTGTTTTTTTGCTGAAGGCCATTGCTCTTAGGTTGGTGGCCATTGCTATTAGGTTTCAGGCCATTTCTTTCGCTGGAGGCCATTGTTTTTTTGGCTGGAAGCCAATGCTCTTAGGTTGGAGGCCATTGCTCTTGGATTGCGGGCCATTGCTCTTAGGTTGGGAGCCATTGCTATCAGCTTTCAGGCCATTGCTCTTGGTTTGGAGGCCATTGCTTATTTGGTTGGAGGCCATTGCTCTTAGGTTGAGGCCCAATTTTTTTTGGCTGGATGCCATTGCTCTCCGGTTGGGGGCCATTGCTCTTAGGTTGGGTGTCATTGTTTTTTTGGCTGGAAGCAATTGCTCTTAGGTTGGGGGCCATTGCTATTAGGTTTCAGGCCAAATGTTCTTAGGTTGGGGGCCATTTGCTCTTAGGTTGGCGGCCATTGCTATTAGGTTTCAGGCCATTGTTTTTTTGCTGGAGGCCATTGGTTTTTTGGCTGGAAGCCATTGCTCTTAGGTTGGGGGCCATTGCTATTATTAGACATTCTCTTTTATTCTGTGCATGTTTTGCTCAATCAAGTAGGGCAATTGGTGCGACATTCCAGGATCAGCATGGGGCCATGGAGCTGTTCTGAGCCAGGACCTCAGAACCAGGATGGATGTCCAAGATGTTTTTGTTCATTCAAAAAACACACTCACATACTGTATACTGTATAATGTAGTTTGCTTTACACATACTGTAGTTTGCTTTGTTTTGTAGCAGTCGTAGCAGTCTACTCCTTGCCGTCGTCATTGGCTATCAGGTGCCTTAGCAAGAACGAAGGCGGAGCGATGTATTGCATGCAGTCGCAACCTCGGGCGCAAAACTTTGCATTTATTTGAATATAGCAACACATGTTTTTGGGGTAGGCCGGTAGAAGAGGGATGTAGGTTAGCTAGAGGTAGCTAGTAGCTACTTAAGCTACTACCTAGGACGCAGGATAGTTCACGCTTCTGCAAGGAAGCTCCCCTAGCCCCCTTCTTGAACAGGCGCTCGCACTAATCATTTAAGTCCTTAGATTTTTAGGGAAAATTAATTTGCTCAATTTAAGAAATATATACGATTTTGAGTTACTACTAGTTTAAGGCCGAGGTAGCTAGTAGCTACTAGCACGCTGATTTTTAGGGAAACCCTTTTTACCTGTCAAGGTGCAAGCAACCATCTCCGGAAATGCCTTGGAACTCAACCTGATGTGACGAGTTGAATCTTGCGGAACGTTGTGGGTCGGATATCTCCAAGGAAGAGAGCTATTGAGGCTGGAAGAGTGTGCAATGGTGAGTCGAATCAAGTCAAGTGGCCTGGAGTCTGGAGAATGACAAGTTGCACGAGATCAAGGGCTACGTGAAAGTTCCTGATAGTGTTGTTTGGCAGGAAGAGAAGCAACAGAGAGCAGCGGATGAAGGCAATCATGTTTGCATGTTGAACTTCCTTTCAAGGGAGAGAATAAACAGAAACTTTCTTTCAACAATTTGTTTGCCTTGGACCTTTTCTTCCTGTTGTCTCTTCCTTTTTTCTATAGACCACTGAGAAGTTTGTTGTTTCTTTCTGGATTCTGGTTAGTTGCTTTGCTTAGACTTAATTCTGCAAGAAGTTCTTTGCATCGCGTTGCCATTCGCAGGAAGAGGTGGTGGCTTATTTGACCGGCAGGACTCATTTCTTTGGGCAACTCGGGTGAACTCCACTTGGTGTTCCCAGATGCGAACCTTGAACAGTTGAAGAAAGAATCCTGAAACCCATTGACAGGACCCAAATGACCGGAATGCATGGGATAGTGATGATGAAGAGGTGGATGAGCCCCAATCTGAGATAGCAGCTGACAAGAGTTGCACTGACTTGGCCTTGTACGTTTGAATTTGTACTAGTGTTCTTTTGATGTCAGGTTTGGAAGACGGAAAAAAAGTAACAGAGACGAGACCTCAGTATTCAGAAAAAAATGCAAACTGGTTGAAACAAAAACAGCAAACAAATCTTGTTCGTCAAAAACAACTGTCGAACAAATCCTCAGATCCGAACTTTTGATTTGTATCCGACAAGAAAATAGACGAGAACGAGGAAAAGCGAGAAACAACAGAATGTCATTGAATGCGTTCGATTGAAGAGAAACAGATCACAAAGAGGAAACATGTCGAGCTCGTTCTTCAACGAGAACAAAGTGGAAGAAGTTCCCTCGTTCGATTAAAGTCCTCGAGAGGAGAGAGCGGACGAACTCGGCGTTCGTCGCATTTAACGCGTAGAGGGAAGGTGGCTCTATGGACACCAATACCACACCCCTTTCCACAGGCAGCAGGGGCGCGGGGCTTGCGGGGGCCTGTGAACTGAAGGACTTTGGGCCAAACAGCTCCTTTTACACCGTCCTTGTTTTCCTTTGATGTCAAACATCTCACTTCTTCCGACTTCAGGCCAAGATGGGGCATGATCTACGACGAGGACACTTGTCGGATGATGCCTTGCTCGAATGGGCCACCGCTGCTTTGCACGGTCAGTTGTGGGCTTCTCTTGTGGCCGCTTTGAGAAGCATCGCTTGACTTGGGCGTGTGGGGCCAATGCGCGGGGAGTTGGTTCTTGTTGGCAAGGTCACGCAAGTGTTGAAGGATGAAGGCTTGGTCGTTCATTTGCCCTTGACGGATCGGGACTTCAGTGTGAACGACTTGGGTGACTGTGTGTGAGCACCCTTTGCAACTTGATGTCTGCAAGGCTTTCCTTGGCTTGCCGCGCGATGCGGTGCATCCGTTTTCTGTAGCGGCTGTAGCCTATGAAGGTTGGATGAGGTCCATGCTTTGGCCCCAAGCTGCAAATCACGGACAAGTCTTTTCTCTGCGTGTGTCGGTTGATTGGAACAAAAAAGTCGCTCTGGCATACAAGCTCAAGCGTGCCTACCATCGGTCACCTTTCCCTTGTGAACTTGCCCTGCGTTATATATATATATTGGGTTGCTTACCGGTGTTGCCGAAAAGATTCCGCCAAGGCAAGGGTAGCCTGCTTCTTGCAATTTCTTTCAGAATGTCCTCGCAACATGTTCACCTCCACGCCCCTCTTGGAGCCAAGCTGGGAATAGTAGTTCTGAGCCGCTGACGAAGGGCTCTGCTTTCTTGACAGCAAAGAAAGGAAAAATTTTCTCATTCAAACTTTTTTCTCATGATATTCAAACTTTTTTGAATGCTGGTTAAGCTGGCTGAACTAAAGATTTTTCTTTTTTCAAAACTAGTGACTAGCACATTTGCATTCAAGTTTGCTGGTAGCAGCGCTGAATTTCTTTGCGTTTGCCATCAATTCACACTGCTCTGCTTTCGTGCCATGGCTGTGCTTCAGCGACCGGACGGGCTCAACAAGCCAAACAGCTGAACAGAAACACGATGAATTTTCTGTAATTTTGTGGTGTCAAAAGTGTAGAAACACTTGTGTTTTTCCTGGGAGTCCGCCTACTACCTGGTTAGGCGCCCTGCCAATACAAAACCCGAGTTTTAAAAACTACACCGACCAATGACCAATAATGCTACCAGTGTGGAATTGATGGCAAACGCATAGAAATTCAGCGCTGCTACCAGCAAACTTGAATGCAAATGTGCTAGTCACTAGTTTTGAAAAAAGAAAAATCTTTAGTTCAGCCAGCTTAACAAGCATTCAAAAAAGTTTGAATATCATGAGAAAAAAGTTTGAATGATAAAAATTTTCCTTAAGAGTGCCCCAAGTGCGTCCATGGGCGATTTTAGGGCGCTGCACTCCACTTGGCAGGATTTACGTATTGGTCCCAGGACCTTCCTTTCCATCAAGGTGGTTGGCTGTTTGGGTAGGTCGTGAGTTGCAAGCTGGGAAGGCAAAGGGGGGCATCAATTGCAGCGTTCCTCATAGATCGCCTATTAGATCAGATCTTGATGTTGATGACTCCAAGCTGGCCACTTGCAGAGACAAGAACTTGTTGCCGCCAGCGAAAGTGAGGTCTTGCAAGCAAGGGTCATTGCTACAAACGTGCGCTCCCCAACTTTGCGCGCTTCTTTTTTCAGAGCAGCGTTCTTTGCAGAGAGAACACCTTGAATCCATGGGTCTTTTTGCTCGTCTTCTCCGAGCTGCGTCCAACTTTTTCGATTTGTCGATCCTTGCATCTTTATTTTCTTGTTTGGCGTGACTAACGCAGTTGTGTTTGCATTGTTGTTTGAGCTCTCGTCTTCTCCAATTGGGCAACGCAATCTCTCAGAGCCATGGACTCGTTGCCGGCCATCCTGTTGTTGCGCAAGCCACAACACAACAGTCAATCTTTGCCGAAGGTCGAGCACATCCAGCAATGTTGGCAAGAGCGTTTGGCGCCGGAAAATGCCTTTGCAAAATCCACCACTCATTACACGCAAGATGCTCAGCCACGGGCTCTAGAAGAAGTTGATCTATCATTTGCTTTGCTGCAAATTGCGCGCGAGAAAGGTATCAACAACCATACGCTCCATAACGCATTGATTCTAAGAAGGGTGGCGTGCTTAGATGGGCCTGGGTGTTCCCAACTATTTAAGGGTCTTAGGCCTTCATAGTAATGATTTGATAACAAGTTCTAAGCCAGTTGTAATTGTATTCCTGCTAGCTGAAAAATAACAAACCTAATACAATTAAGATAGTCACGCAAATAATTTCAATAGTTAGCCAACATCTTAAATTTCTTCATTTTCTATTTCCTGCTCACTAGTTAGCAATGCTTCAACTAACTCTAACTCAATTTTGCTAACTGGTTAGCTAAAGATATGTAATTGGAAAGTTCAAGTTTTTTATTGGGTGAAATGATGAGCTTGAAAAAATTGTTTGGTTGAAGTTCAACAAGAAGTTGCGTTAATGAACAAAAATATGTGGTTCACCAAATAGTAAAATGTATTCTGGTCTGACATAGACACGCGCGCAGACAAAAAATAGGTTTATCAAAAGCATTTTGTAACAAAAAATGTTTTGGTTTATGTTTGTCATAATCAACACAAGGTTGCTTAACGCCAAGGCAAGATAGTTATGCCTAGCGCAAATCAATCCCTTTAATGGCTGTAAGCCAGTGAGCGACAAACTGGTTTTCACTCCAAGCCAAAAGCTGGCTTTCACACGCAAGCCACATGGCTGGCTTTCACATACAAGCCACAAGCTGGCTTTCCAGCCACAAGCTGGCTTTCACATACAGGCCACCATGGCAAAGCCCTTGCCAATGTCTACCTATGTCCAGGTGTATGCCTTGGGCTTACTCCCTGGGGCTGAGAAACCGATGTGAGGTTTAACAATGGTTTTTGTACTTCTTGTTTTTGTTGTTTGCGCCCAGCGCTTGCTTGCATTTATTTCTTAACTTCCCAAACTGAGGAATCCAACCTGGTGGCAATATGTTCAATCCATGGATGCAGGGATGGTTGGATTTGGGCCTGTAAGTTGAGAGGGAGGGACACCTAAACTGCTGGTACCGTGGCACTACCTGGACAACTAGCTAGCTGAGGAATGAATGATTTTGGACTTGGGCCTGGTTGTATTAGCAACACCTGGGCCAAAGAGCTCATGTGTAAAAAACAGGTGTACATTTGCACGGCAGGCTTTTCTCCAAAGCCCATGTGGCTATCTCTTGTTGCTGATTGGTTCTCCAAAGCCATTATGGCTCTTTTTGTAACGTGATTGTCTCCAAAGCCTTTCTGGCTATCTCTGCTTTGGTTTTGGCTTTGAAAAGCCATTAATTGTATTTCTGCATGTTTCAAAGCTGTCCTTGCTATCTCTTTTGCGAACATTGTTTGACAAAGCCAGTATGGCTTCTTCTGTGGCCTCCAAAGCCTCTTTGGCTATTATACTGACATACAGTGAGATGAGGTTCAATTTTCTGCAAATCATGAATGAAGCAAAGGAGTAAAACCATGGGACAGACCAACTGCAAACCACATAGGCTCAAGCTCTCTATGGCCATTGCCAAATGATGCAACATCAAGTACAAAGTGGAAAGATATTTGTACAATAATGTTTCATGAACAGATCTCATAGCTCGCAAATCACTAGCCACTAGCAGAAAATGATTGCAACGGTCTAAGTCGTTCAAACCACTTGTCACAATGAGGTATTGTAAGTTCAGAAATCTGAATCTAACTGTCGGAATTGAGATTTAAGTTCCAAAATTTGAACCTAATTGTGAGGATTGAGATTTTAAGTTCAGGGTTGAGAATTTAAGTTCAGAATTCTGAACCTAACTGTAAGGATTGAGATTTTAAGTTCAGAATTCTGAACCTAACTGTCAGACACTTCACTGCTTTGATTTCATCAAATCGAGTGTCACCAAAAATTATTGTCCTGCGAGCCATGCCGGTTGACCCCACGAACGTGAAGATGGCCTTTTAGTCACTAGGTGTTGCTTCCTTATCTTTTCCACAGCTTTAGTCATCAGATTTTGTTTCCTTCAACTCCCTCGCCAAAAAATATAACCAGACAGTTTTAGTCATCGTTTTTTCAACTCCCTCACCCCCAAAATTGTCCACAGTTTTAGTCCTGCGGCTTTGCTTCCATAATTTCCTTTACCAAAATTTTGGTCCACAGCTGTAGTCATCAGATTTCGTTTGCTTCAACTCCCTCACCAAAAAACACCAGACAGTTTTACTATGTGTTTGTCATTAATTTGTGCTTCTTCAGTTTCCTTCACCAAATCATGTTGTCCACAGTCTATTCATCAGGTTTTTTCCGCCAGCCCCCTTACCAAAAAATTGTCCATAGTTCTAGTCCTTGCTGCGCTTGTTTTTTCACTTTTAAAGCTATTGTTTGGCTATGTTTGGCTGTACCTGTTTTCAATTCATCTCATTTTTTAAAATCCAGTTTGTGGCTTTTGCTGGTGACGTCAATCTAACGCCTTTTGGTTTCGGCCTTCAAAACCTGCAAGCCATATGCGGCTTTGGCTGATTGTACTAGATGAAGCCTTTTTGGCTTTGGTTGTGTACTGAATTAAGCCTCCTGGGCTCTAGCCTGAGACCTTCCAGTTTTGTGAAACGATGATTTTGAAATTCACCCTGGCAAGCCCATGGTTGCTTCACGCAAGCCTGAAGGCTTGAAACATTACTCTTTTTGAATAGCCAGAAAGGCTTGAAAAAAGAAGTTAATTTTTGAAAATCAACACCATCATAAATTTTGACCATGGGCAAACCATGTTGAAACCGTTTTGGATGTTGCTTTGAACAATTTATGACTAGTTAGCTCTCACTCAAGTTAACTAGTTCGTAACTTTTGTACTAGCTGGTCTAAAAAGTTAGCTAACGTCCTTGAATAGTTACTAACACCCAGGCCCATCTAAGTGGGTGGGTATTGAAACCTGATGCACAACGGCTTGAAACCAAAATAGAACTTCGATTGACTTCTTTCGCGCCCATCCTGCTTCTCAGTCTTAAGTCTTCACTGTGATTGCGGTCTCAGGGACCTATCTGATCTGCCAACTGGCTTGAACACATGACTGAATGCGCTTGAAGGAAATGAGTCCATGTGGCGAGCCCAATCAGCCTACGCTGCTTATCAACGTGGACTTTGGAATTGACATCCAATTTGGTGAAATGGACCGTTTGGCTGGCAATCCCAGGAAGATTCTCTATGACCAGTCGTTTGGCCGAACCCCGCTTTTTCAAACTCTCTTGGCTCTAGCGAGCTTGTCTTTCACTTTGATGTCTAGAGGAGTCTTGCGGCCCCTATATCTGCCCAGGCCCGTCTGTAATTGTACATGCCGTCAAGCTTTCTGGTGTGCCCCGCAATTGTTGACTTCTGCCATGAATATTTCATGTAGCCACGTTCGTTGGTTTTCCCCAGTGAGCACGCAACTGCCATTTCTGCTCGCGCTCTGTTTTTCTACGCCAGAATTTTAGCGCCTGCGCCTGTACGGCCATCAGCTTTCTCTCAGCATTTTACAACGCCCGAAAAGAAGAAGAGGTGATGTGCACACTTTCCAAGTTACCCGCGCGCCCTGGTTGCGTTTCTGGCTGGTAATCACATCCTTGCAGTGGAGAGCGAACAAACTGATTCGACGTGTCGTGTTTGACATCCGTCAGATTACTTTTTGCGTCAAAGACTGAATTTTCAATCCTGCAATTGAATTGGGCTGGATTGAAATTAAATTTTTCAACATTGGGTTGAGTTTCTTTCAATCTTAAGATACGTGGAAAAGTGATCTTTTGAAGATTGAACTTTTCAATCTAGCGCTAGCGCAATTGATTTTTCACGCAGCAAGTTGCTCACTCGGCGCCGCGCAATCAACGGCTCCTGCAGCTATGTTTCAAGCCTTTGTGTTGATGAACTGGTTTACCCTCAGCTGAAAGCCAAGGAAATACTTGCGGGTAAACAAGTCAATGACCCTTCGCACGTGGTGTTTGATGAGCCCAGCTGTGAGCATATGTGCAATACTTTGAATTCTATTTGAAGTCTGCAGATAGCCACATTGTAGCAGAAATAAGAATGTGGAGTCACCTGCCATTTCACAACATCATTGACCTGTAGCTGCAGCCATATATAGTGCCGCGAGCTGCCCTCTTCGACAAGCGCGCAGCGCCCTTGGCCTCCCTGCCCGCGAAAAACAGTCTTTAGATACAATGTAATTTTTAAAAGCGCGACAGAATGGACGCATTCATGTGGCTAGCCGTTTCTCGCTCTTTAGATTTGTTTCAGGCCGTTTCAAGCGCCTTGACACCATGTGGTGATGAAGCTCTCCCGAGCCACGCGCTGCAACTTCAAGGTTGCGCGAGTGCAATGTGTCAACGCAAGGTCTGTATGGCCAAACACATCCAGGAATCTCGCTCAAGAAAGAACGTTTGGCGGGCTGGCTGTGTTTCAAGCCCCTTGGAGCGTGGCATCTAGGCTGACAAGTGTTCCACAGCTCGGTTGCAATTGCGCGCCAACCAGCCTTATTATAAGTCCAGTGAGGGAGGCGCAATTTTGCGGGTCCAGCTTGGTTTTGGAATCTGTTTGGCAAAGGCTCTGCTTGAAGCCGCCCAGCTTGTGGGACGCTTACCTTCAAACAAGCCTTGGAAATTCCAGGCAAGGATCTCGTCGACTTCCTGGTACGTAGCTTGCCTTGCTCTTGGCTTTTTCCACAACCAACAAAGCTTCCAATCAGCTTGGTCGTCTTGCGGCTTGACGCCCAGAATTCAGATACCTGACCTACGCCAGCTCCCCTGAGAGGGAAAAGTTGCCGAATGCATTTTTTCATTAACCCACCTAAAGCGTTTGAAGCTTATTGTTGCTTGCGCGGGCGCCTTGGTTTCTTGATTAGCTTTGTGTAAAGCCACTTTCGATGCTTTTTCAATGGCTTTGTTATACGCTTCTGCTCCATGTGAGCTTCGCCTTTCGCTGCTTTTTTGGGGTCTGCAAGCCCAAGCTTTTCACCGAAGTCAAAGCCTCAAAGCGGAAGTACGCAAGGTATGGGAGTACGCAAGCCGGGCCTCAAACGGAGCATATTTTTTGGTGGACGAGCTTTAAAGTGTGTAGTCCGAAACGCAGACGAAGACGCCAGAACAAGTACGCGAGTAGCGCGCGCAATTCTCCACAGGTAGCTGACTCACAGCAAGTTACGTTTGAGTGTTTCTTTTCTGCGGCTTAGGCTGTGAAGAGTCGAGGCTGGCGCTGCGAAGGGCACGCTTATATACATGTATGACGATTTGTTTGTCTATGCACTTGCGCCCCACCTGTCAGGTGAGGGCTGTCATAGGCTGGTGTACAGATAGTCTTCTCGTCCTCCTTCTTCTCCTTCTCCGCCCCAGACCCCAACAGCAAGTCCCAGATTGCAGCAGTCTGAGTCTCGCACCTCAACCGCAAGTGGCAGATTGCAGGGCTACCGGACCTCAACCGGAAGCGTGCGCTACCGGACCTCAACCGCAAGCACCAATGGCAGCGTGCGCTACCGGACCTCAACCGCAAGCACCAATGGCAGCGTGCGCTACCGGACCTCAACCGCAAGCGCCAGATCGCAGTGGGCGCTACCGGACTTTAGCTGCAGTGCCAGATCACAGCGGGCAGTCTCTGACTTCAACCGCAAGCGGCAGATCGCGCTGCCGGACCTCAACTGCAACAAGGGCCAGATCGCAGTGGGCAGTACGGCAGTACCGGACCTCAACCGCAAGCCCCAGATCGCAGTTGGACAGTCGCGGACCTCAACACGCAATACGCAACCGTCGCAACCAACAAAGCCCAACCGCAATACACAAGCACAACCACAAACACACAGTTTGTTGTTGTGTGTTTGTGGTGTGTATAATTGCACTTGTTTGTTTGTGTCTGTGTGTTTGTGGTTGTGTTTGCGATTGCGCGTTTGTCATTGTGGGTTCATGTGGTTGTGCTTGCATTAACCGCAAGCGCGCAATCGCAAACACACAGTCACACGCGCAACGCCAAACACGCAATCACAAACACACAGTCGCAACAACAATCACTATCACAAACACACAGTCGCAAACGCACAAGCGCAAGCGCGCAACCACAAACTCACAATTGCAAACGCACAGTCGCAAACGCAACGACAAACACACAAGCGCAAACGCAGGATCCACAACGACAGCCGCAACACATCCGCAAACACACAGTCCACAAACACAACCGCAAACACACAATCACAAACACACAACCATGCAAACGCACGACGCACAACCGCGACAACATAATTGCCTTTGCGTGTGGCGTTTTGCGTGGCAGGTGGTTAGAGGGTAGCGCTTTTGGATGCCTACTGGAGGACTCAAAAGCGAAATGGAACACCGCAAAACTCACGACCATGCTCGTCACCATGGCATTAATGTCATGTTAAGGGGATCATTCGAGGTAAAATAGATTTTTGCACGCGCCCTTTGTGTACGACACTGTGTCAACATAGAATTTGTCTGGCGTGTTGCCGCGTGTTGTTGCCGCTATGCCCGTGCGACATTCGCGCAGGCACGGGTCAGTTGGAGCCTCAAAGCACAACTTTTCATCACTTCTCCTGCAAGAAGTTTTGGCAAAACTTCAGGCCGAAGGGGCAGGCTAAGACCGACAAGCACAAGGCGGTGTCAGCTTTCGCTGTACCTGCTGCGAGGGGTAGTTGCTATAGCGCGTTGTCGCGTCAACGGCGGTCTGAGTCTATAGTTACAATATTTGGTGAGTTCACATTGGCCAATGTTCGTAGCCCAAGACATTTATAACACTTCTATAACGCATTTATATACAGCGTTGGCTTGTCCACGGTCGCGTCCTTGATTCCCTGGCGCTGTCCGCGTAGGCAGCCCTAGAAAGATTGAGGAGCTCCGCGAGAAGATTGGGCAGTCAACACTTGGGGGTAGACACGGAACAAAAAGCGTTGGTTGCCCAGTTGCGTCTGTCATCCTAGGAGCAAACATGCGAATGGCCAGCGCCTCAAGTTAAGCGACGGCCGAGCAGAGCCCAGAGATGCCCAAGATTTTTAACGCAGTTGGCCAACGCAGTTTACGCCAACAGTTGGCTTGCGGTTGGCAAGGGTTGGAACCGCGCCCTTCTTCTTTTTATGAAACTACAGGGTTGTTTTTTGTAAATGTCAGTACTCACTAATGGTAGTTTGTCTGTAGTAATTTTTAATTGTGTTGATTACTTAATATGTACTAAGCGCGACCACTCTATACTAGTTCCTAATCCTAGGTACTCCTTTTTTGTTCGTTAGTTTTCAGCATTTTATCGGCTTTTGTGTAGCTACTACTTACCCTGTAGTTGTTATTGACCGAAATCACTGATGGTAGTTACTCTCTAGTAGTTACTTTCAGCATATACTCTGTCGCCCTCAACTAGTATCTAGTCTTAGTCAAATAGTATGGTAGTGATTATTGGTAGTACCTACTCCTGAATAGTCAATCGTAGTTTCATACTCTGGGGTTCTTACAAGAAATTTTTTTGTAGTTCCCAACAGTAGCTACTCTTTAGTCGTTGCTACTCTTTAGTGGCTACCAATGGTGGCTGCTCCTTGGTAGTTATTGCCAGAATTGTACTCTTTTGTAGTTTCTTTCGGAGCTATTCTGTAGTCGTTACTGATTCTATGGTACAGATGCTTTTCAGTAGCTGCAAATACGCCTTCAGGCGCCTGTGGTTGATATCTGCAACCGAATGAACCGTTCCAGTACGGGCGGGCTTCAGAGGGCCGAAGCGCGGAAGGTGTATTTTCGCTTGTTGTCGGTATAGATGGTTCTTATTCATTTTTGGAGTATCGCCCACGTGCGACGAGCGCCGCAACTTTTTTTCCCTTGAGACTCTCCATTCATTGGTGCGTCGCGCTGTCTCTTGTGTGTGATTTTGTTGCGTTTCTGGTCTCTTTGTCTTCATGTTTTGCACTTCACACCTTGCGCTGCACCTTGGACACTGATCGTTGGCTTCTCGCTTGGTCCGTTCTAGCTTTGTGCGCAGAACAAGAGTAAATGTTGCAGGGCGCGCGCGCTGTGCATTCTGCAGTTATAGGGCTGATTGAAATGCTTCGCGCCAAAGCCAGCGAAGAGACCAGCCAAGGGAAAGAAAGGCGTCAGCTGTATGAATACAACGCTCGAGCGCCGCGTCTACCAGTGCTCGGCCTACGCGTGCTGATTTGAAGGCATTCCATGGCCCTGATGCGGCAAACCAAGAAATGTTTCGCCAAGGTGGCCACGCTTGACTCAGCACAAGCACGGATCAGGGCAGCTCAAGCGTTGGCTCCCGACGCTGGCGCCATAACGCTGCCTCTCGCACACAGCGCTGGCGACGCCAATGTAATAGTCACAAGGCGCGCGCCAACAACACAAAGCACGCAAATTCTCAAGCCGAGAGCCAAAAGCAATACCAGCGCTACGTCAGTGCCACTACAAGCGGTGGGCCTAGCGCGCCGCCAAAAGAATTTGCCCACAACGAGGGGAAAGCGCTGGCGCAGCCTTGTACGGCCACCTATGAAGCCTTGTTCAACAAGCCTGGGAGAGCATGAGAACAAGCGCGTCTATTGCACTGGACCTTCTCCATCTCTCGGAATCTGGCGCCCTTGAAGAAAGCCAGTAGCAGAACACGCATTATTTTGAGACACCGTACTTGCCCAAGTCTAGAGATTCTTGTTGCTGTCGTTTTTGCAGCCTCTGGCCTTCTGTGGTTATGCGGCCATCATTGGACAGATCAAGCTTAGATCGTTTTGAAGGTGTTACCAGAAAATGAAAGGATGCCCGGGGCAGGACTATCTGTGGCTGCCACAGTTGATTGTCAAAGATTGTTTCAAGGCTTCCCGGTTTTCTATGAATTTAACAGTCGTGGTCGGAGAGCTGGTTTGCGAGCGCCAGTCGTTTTTGCCAAGGGTGCGCTTCGAACGCCCCGTTCTTTCCTATGCGTATATAGAAGCTTGGTGAAGTTCTTCTGCGCCAATGACCTGCGCGGTGCGGCTGATGCTGCGGTCGCGCACCAGTATAATAAGCCTCTACTTAGTTGCGCGCGTGTGAATGGAGGCTTGTCGAAGCAAAGCCTTTTGGACGCTGGCCATACCTTATGTTTTCGGAGACAGCCTGCTGCGCTGTGGTATGCTTCGCGCACCTGTTCTCAAAGTTGCACTCGCGCACGTAAATTGCGCCAAAGATCCGTCGAAGGCCGTCTTTTCTTCAGTTCCTGGAGGAAGATTTCTAAAATTCTGCGCGCCAACAACTTTGCACCTGAGTGTGCGAAGGCGCCGCGAAGGTATCCTAGTTTATCACGGGAACCAGAACATATGGATACGAAGGAATCCTGAATCATTGTATGGCTGTTCTGGGCCTGATTGAGAAAACACATCTCCAAGGGGAACTTGACGGACAAAAAACGTCTGTACATAGATCATTTCTGAAGATTGTAACAATGTGCCAAGACTCACTTCTTCCCAACCCCTTGCACCCATAGCTACATGCGCCCTTAGTGTCAAGGGCTTAAGCGCCGGCCCAAGCAACAAGGAGCCGCGGAAGGCCTTCTCCACTACAAATGCCATTGTGCTCACGCGCCGCAGTTTTAAATTTTAAAGCGCAAAATTAAATCGTTTTCAAATCACAGTGAAAGTTTGGTTGCAAATCACTCACACTCAGTGAACGTGCTAAGAGATGGAACAGTAAAATGTTCCAAGCATAGCACAGAGATGAACTTGACCAGGCCGAGAGGGCATACGCTCTCGCAGCCGCAGCTGATGCAAAATACTTGCTTTTTGAATATTTTGTATTATGTAATTGAGTAAGACTTTCAACTTTAGCAAATAATGTTGGTCGACAATCTTTTGATATTGACAAACTTACTAGGCAACAGTCTTACTTTTAAGGGCTTACGCCTGACAGCCAGGCACCCGCCGGTATGAGGGGAAGAGGTTGTTCGTTTTTGCCCCCTGCAAAAAAGGATACGCGGCCCCGGTTAGGCTAGAGTATCTTGTCACTGACTGCGCTGCTCCAAAAAACTTTCGCGGCCCAATTACGGAATCTGGCTTTTCTGCTCCAAATTTCGCGAACCGAGTTGGCGCTGATTGTTCCGAAAAGAAACAATTAAGGCCCTGTTCCTGCTGAGAATCTTTGGACCTTACTGATCGAACAGCCTAACTAAACATTTGGAGCCCACCCAGTTGCGCGTAATCGAGCGCCATCAGTCAGCTGACAGCGACGACTAGAATTGCAAGCCGGAAGAAGCAAGAAAAACGGACAGGACTGGGGACGGGTCGGGGGGATGTTGTCGTTCTGGTAATTTCTTTTTGTTTCTCTTCCGCAAGGTCCCGCTCGAGAAGAGATTGACTCAAGAATTCCACGATAATTTCGCAGATTACAATTGTATAGGTTGTGATAGAGGTCCCGCCGTTCATAACCAGCGGTTGCACGCCCTAGCCGCCGACCACACTCAATCCCCCGTCTAAATCCTCGTAAGTGACGCTCGCAGAAGAATTTGTATATCATATGCTTCGATAAACCAATATAAATACAGGGGAGTACTCCCCATAGCACACCACAATGGCAACAACAAATATTACTACTCCCTCTATTTCTACTACTACAACAACGTCCGCAATTACAACAACACCAACGACCGCGACAACAACCACGACACCAACAACAACACCACGCACCCTCTAACGGTGGGCCTGCTAGCCCGCTAAAGGGCGTCAGCCGGCCCAGCCCCGTGTCCTTGCCGGAGGCCTTCGGTGGTTAAAGGAACTAACGGTCGCGGCCCCTGCCGCCAAGCTACTAACCTTCGACTGAAGTCACTGTAGTCCATAATTTTGTTTGGCTATCCGCTTTTAAGTTTTGATGTAGATACAAGGTCGTTTTCGAAGGCCTGTAGCGCAAGATATACTACCCGAATGGCATTCTAAAGTTAGCATTTTGTTCTTTTCTAAAGTTAGCATTTTGTTCTTTTAATACTAGTTCTTTACTTCTTCTTTTTCTTCTCCGTTTCCTTCCTTTTCTTTCCTCCCTGCCCCGGCCGACACCCGGCTGTCAAGCGTAAGCCGTTTAAAATGTACAGTTAACCACTTTTCGGGCGGCTTCTTTTCCAAATTCTCCCCGCCAAATGTTAAATTCACCATACCCAGCCAAATATACTTTACAATCGGCCCCCCCATACACCCCCTATACTCGTTTCGTTCGCCCATCAACAACTCCAATCTATCGTCGACTACTCAGAAACAGGGGAATCCACGCCCAGATTAAGGCCTATAAACAGGAGAATGAACAGCAAACTGAGGGGTCTATAGATTTGAGGCCCTATCGGCAAACAGAGGACGAAGACATGGAGGATGAATAGATGGTGATAAATCTGGATAGCGGGGAAATCATTAGGTGTCGTTATCTTATATGGAACTTCGTGAGCCGGAGAGCGAAGACGAGGGGCCAAATGTTCTTATGGAGGTGAGCGAGGGTCAAGGAGAAGTAGAATGGGCGGAAGAAGATTTGCTAGCGCACAGGATCGAAGATCGCGCTATTAAGCAGGCAACAAACTCCTGGATCACTGGTGGACTATGATTCAGCAGCCGCGCACTTAGGTTTACGAGCAACCCAACACATTTTGAAGTTGCAGGGTGAATGGCAGAAGGTTGACCATGAAGGGGATCACGAACGTAAGCTCGAAATTTACGCTATGATAGATAAACGCTATCCCTTCATGGGTTCAGTAGACTTGCCTTTCTGAAAGAGTTGTTATACAAGTAAAATTGCTTAGATGCCAAAGGAGGAGTGGCAAATATAAGCCATTTAAGTTTGACCGAATCGCAGACCCCTTTTCGAGATCAAATATCTGCTCGCATATATTGATTCTATTTATAGATTTAGATTAATATTTTTTGGATATTTATATAGTTTTGTGTATTTAATAGTGTTATTTTGTTATTTGTATTGAATTTTTGTAGATTTAGAAAATAGAATTTTTAATTGAAATATTGAAAAAAAGTATTTTTTTAATATTTATAGTTGTTTTGAAATTATGTATATTTAATTTGGTTTTAAGATTTAATGATTGTTATATTTTGTATAACGTATTATATAGTTTTTTATTGTTATTTTGTTTTTATGTTTTAACGATTAAAATATTATATAAGGAATTTTATTTATTTATGAAAAAAAAACATAAAATAAAATCTCTATTATTAATAAATATTTTTTTTTAATATAATTTTTCTTTTAATTTTATTATATATTTATAAAGCAAAAAAATAAAATATGTGAACGATATTATTTAATTATTATATGGGCTTTATACATTTATATTTAATAAGTATATTATCGTTTTTTACGTTTTGAATTTAATTATATTATATATTATTTTTATAATACGATAGATATTTTAAATATAAAAGGAAATATACGACGATTAATAATGGTAATAATTGTAATAATAATAAAATAAAGAGAAAAAATAATAATCGTCGTTATAATAATAATAATAATAATATTTATTATCGTTATAATAAAAACAATTATAATAAATGAACTATATTTTAATTTAATTTAAAAATTAATATTTAAATTTGAATAAAATATTGATTTTATATTACATATATATAAACTAAGCTTTTTTATAATTAAATATATTCCTATTAATATATTATTATTTTTTAATGCGAATATTACCATTTTCGAAGTAAAATGTATATTATATTATTCTAATATTGCATTTTTTTTTAAATAAATGCACGAAATATATATATATATGAAATAATTATTTAGATTTATTTAAAATATGTTTTTATTATATTTTGGAAAATAATATATTGTAATTAATGATTTGGATTTTGGGGGTTATTATGAGGTCGTAATATTTTGTTTGAAATTTATTATATATTTAATATATAATTATTTAAATAATATTAATTGTTTTTTCTTACGAAAATTAGGTAATTAATTGGATGGAATTGTATTTATTTTGGCAATTGAAGGGCCGGAACGCCTGAAATCGTCGTATTACGCAAAAATTTTAAATGTAGGGAGATATTTTTCCCCGCCGTTTGAAATGCTTTTGATTTTTTTTGTTTATTTTTTTATGACATCTATTTTACTTTAAGTGTTAGTCGTATACTTTACATTTTTACTACGTTTTATTTTATGAACGAAATTTTATTCTCGACCTTAAATTTATATTTTTCTATAATAAATAGATTAGGTTGGTTTATTTTAATACAAAATTATTTTTTTTTTAAAAAACATGTGCGTCTATTAAGGTTATATGACAAATTTTCATTTTTTTGTTGAATATTATATATTTTGGTTTTAATATTAATTTAGAAATATATTTTTTTATAATCAAAGGCAATAATATTGTATTAATTATATTATATTATTGATAAATATTTTTATATTTATATATTGTTTCTAATTTTTGAGCATGTTCGTTGAGTATGCAGGGGTAGTTGTGGACCTATGTGTAGACCAGTTCCTAGGCCGCATGCTTGTGGACTGGTTTCGGGACCATCCTAGTCGTAATTAGCATGATGCTGGTGAATTTGCAGGATGGTTTCGACAACGGCTGCTGGAAAAAACGCTCCCACAATATATGTAGCAGGGTTGGAGCTCTCGGTTGCTTAGTTCCACAGAAGATCAAGCAGATGTGTTCGCTCCTGTTCCCATGGTATGTCCAGTTGAAGGTTTCATTACTCTTCAGCAGATGATCACCAACTGGCATCATTAAGAGCCTTTTGTCCATGCCTTCACATGTGACTTACCTTGGATCTGCATTCAGGTGTCTCGGTTTCCCTTCCTTGGACAGAAAAGCCGCTGTTCGGTTCTGTGGGATAGATGCCTGCCCGTGCAGATTCCGATCTTCCGTGATCGCCGAGGCATCCATGTGGAGTGGCATGATTTTGTTGTGACAGCGGGGGTCATCCACCTGGGTGCAACCCCCGCTGAAGGCCATTATCGTAGCATTCTTTGGCACAGTGGCACCGTCAAGTCTTGTGATGACTTCCGTTCTGCCCTTCCTTTGGGGATCGACCCTGAAATTGCTTCCACTATCTACCTCATTTGGATCATCCCGAAGTCATGCACAAGCCAACAGTGGAAACGTCCTTTGCCTATGAAGCCAAAGAGTTTTGATGAATTGCTCAACGATCGCTTTGCATAAGCACGCCTGTTCGAACCTGGTGCCTTCGACACTCCGGAAGTGTCCGGCCTGGAAAATTCCAGCTTCGGCCCAACACGGGCAACCAGCACGGTTGCCGGCAGATGAAATGAAATGAAAAAATATTGTTTCTAAATTTCTTTATTATGGATTTATTTTGTATATATTTATTTATATATTTTCCTAAAATTTATTTTTTAATAATATTAGTTTTAATATAGAAATGAATTATTTAAATTTTGTATTGTTTAAATGTATTATTGATTTATTAGGTATATATATATTAATTATTGATTTGGTATTTATTAAATTATTTTGTTGATTTATATTGGTACGTTCTTGATCGTTGATATAGATTATCATGAATAATCGAAAATGAATGGATTGGATTATTTATTATCTATTGAATATTATTTATCTAATGGCCTTTAATAAGATATTCTGAATTTCTAAATTCAATATTTTCTTATATTTGTGTTTTTCTGATTTCTATTTATTGATATTTTGATTATATAGTTTTTATATTTTTTTAATTTACAATTTTATATATATTTTTTTTTTACATTGATTATTTTTAAATTATGTTTTTTTAATTTATCTTTAGGTATTATCTTTTCGATTATTA